GTTTTGATCTGTTATAAGATGTATTACTAGGAGTTTAGGGAGGGGTAATTGTATGTGTACTGGTTCAACAAAGTCCTCAAGAAAAAATAAAAGTAAACAAACATCTGATTCAAGAACATCTGACAAAATCTTCTCATTATCTCCTAGGGAAAAATGCCTACTGTTCTAGGACTTTCACAGAGCACTGCAAGGTTCCGCTTGTTTACCACTGAGTTCCCTCAATACCTGCTTCCATTGTATGTGCTGAGCTGTCAGAGACCTGCCCCATGCCCAGTGCAGGCAGGTGCTGTAAAGTAGCAACCATCAAAGCTTCCCTGACCTTTCAATTCCACATATTCCTTCTAATATTCCTACTTCTGTGATCTTCAAGACCCCGAAACGAAGACTGGGATTCCCAAGGGCTACATACCCAGAATTACGCTAGATGCCAAAGACACAGGGATGTAAGCCAAGGCCTTGTGATTCTACCATAATAGTTAAGTACAGAGTGCTACGGGAGACCAGAAAGTGGGCATTCAAACTCATCAGGAGGAAGAGAAGAAGTCAAAGGAGATACTTTACGGCAGAAATTTGAACAGTGAAGTATAAAAATGGGTGTTGTATCATTTATCTTTCAACCCATCAGAGGCTAGAAAAGAACAAACTGTACACAGAGAGGCCAGGGTTTTCATTCTCCTTTAGTCATTAACTGACTATAGCAACAGAGTGTGACCAGTAATTGAATTATTTAGACCCCAAAGGGTAGGCAGGGCATGGTGGAAAGAACAATGGATTCAGATAACAATAAAATCTGAACCTCTGCTGTGACATTCTGTAAGTATGGATCTTGGGCAAGTCACTTTAGTTGTCAGTCTTGGTTTGTACAACTAAAAAACTAGGTTAATAACCTCTTTATGTCTGTCTGCTCCCAGTATTAAGATTACAATCATGACCCAGCACAGAGAAGTGCTACGAAGATGTTCGTAAACTGACAATTAAATCTAAATCACCTAGTCATTAAATATTTCAGATGGATAATTTAAAGACAAATATGATGTTCCTTAGCAAAGAAGACATCTCTAATTTAAAACTCATTCCCAAACTAACATGAAAACAGGGACTGCTCAGGAGCAGACACAGTGTTTCCCTCCACCTCCAGGACCTGGCCGGCATCCTAGATTCTCAACGTCCAAACTCTACCACAACAGAACTCACAGTCACTACAGCACTGTGAAGCACCACACACTAGATTAAACTCAGAAATGGTTTGTCTTTAAAAAAAAAAAAAAAAAAAGAAAAAGAAACAACGAAACAAAATTTTAAAACTGATAATCTGAAGGAAAACACTTAAAACCTAAATAACCACACACTCCACTCCATGGGATGAATCACGCAGTGCAGCATAACGGCACCACAGCAAAACACAATTCTGCAATCTTCATGCTTACCGTCTCACTGTACAGGTCTGACAAGCAAATGAAAAGCATTTTTCCAAAAGGAGTCCTCTGAAACAAAATCTAAAGTCACTGAGTTTTGTACAAAGAGATGTACATAAGGTGAAGTAGTGATCTCCCTTTATACATTTGTATTCCCCACATACATCCTAAGCAATACTAAGAATCTTAACATTTGAGGAATTGATATATGAAAAACATATATCTTGAAATACCAATAAACAACTGAATCAACTGCACACAGATACACCATCTTAAGTTGTGAATCCTTTGCTCCATTTCTTCTTGTAACCTACTACTAAATATAACTTGGCAGTGAACCAGCCACCAATCCGTACACTATTATCACATAATTAAAAATACAGTGTTATGTAATCTTATTTAATGGTTATTTGTCTTGGATTGAAAACCATCCAAACTAATACTGGAGAACTGAGTTGAATTACAATGCATGAGACATTTCTAAAGATGTTTTCTAAAGAGTCAGCACATCCCTTACCAGCAAACATAATAAAAAACATGCAACAGTACTTTCTTCTCTAATTAACCTCCTAGGCAAGACACCGCAATGTCAAAGCATCCTACAGACACTTGGGGGCGGGGGCAGGGGACTGCTGCTAGAAAGAGGAGAGTATCAAAGGCTTTTCTTAGATTCTCTTTTAACAGCAAGTAAACATTACCCATTACTTTTGTTAGAGAAACAAAATCAGTAGTTAGGAATGGGGAAAAGAACAAGTTATACTCAGAAAACAAAGATTAATGCCCTTCATGAAACCTTAAGTCTGGAAAAAGTATGTAAGCCAACCCAAATCAGAAGAGTTCTCTCTTCATGTCTTCCCAGTTCAAGCCTTTAAAGATTATCAGAAAGAAAAGAAAAAGAAAAGAAAAGAAAAGAAAAAAATACAGCTACAAGTTGAATAATGTTTAAAAATACTAGATTTTAAAGAAAAGACTACATCTCATTTACAAACTGCTTTATTACTGTAATATGCTGGTTAGAATGTTGGTCACAGGAGAGCTTTAATCCAAGCATGCCTCTTGGCATGAGCATTAAAATCCTGTGAGATAAGTCTACCATGAACACTTGGTTTTTCAAAGACAAATGCCAGAATTAACTTGCATTAAAAAAAAATCTCGGTAAGTCTTCCTAAAGGACACATATGATTTCCCTTACATTAAGTCACCTGGAAACAATCATATTAATTATTGTGATTTCCGCAGGGTTTCAGATTAGCATGTGAGAAGCATTTCCTTTCATCTTTTGCTGAAGGTATAAGCAGAAATTATGAATGGCCTTAGAGACAGAAGATCTGAGTTCAAATTAATTCTTGGTGGCCTGCAAAAGCTTGTAGAACTGAGGTGCTCCCAGAAAAAAACACCAACACCTGCCTCACAAGGATACAAGCATGAGGATGGAATTGGAGAGGGTGTGCAATGAAGTGCCTGGGAGACTTTAATAAAACACTGTTCAAACACAAGGTACTGTTGGCATTCGGGAATGTTACTCAGAAAATATTTCTGTTACATGTCACTCTACAGTAAAACAAAGGCTTCAATGCTGACCCATCATCATTGCACAATTCAGTGTAGAATACGGGATTCCAGTGCTGAGATTCAGAATAACCTCTGGAAAGCACAGCTTTCTTAGAGGCAGGTGGTAAGAACACAGCTAAGTAACAATAAAATACTTTCATACAGCCAGTAACAAGCCAACCTGGTCATCAGATTGAAATGAAAGCTTTCTAACAATCACGCAAACTCAACTGAATCCACGATGTCTGAGAAAGATACTTGTAATTTTGAAGTTACATAACAGCACAATTAATATTTTCAATTAACAGGACTTTACATTCTGGGTGTCAGCCCCTGAATTAAGGGAAAAGCCTTTTAGTCTCAAGTAACAAGTTAAGAGTTACACACGCAGCTGAGTGGACCTCTGGCCGCCTCCACACGTGAGAAATGCTCCCAAGAGAATTTCTGATGAAAAAGGAAATCATCCTCTAAAAATCACTGAATGGCAACATTTCCCCAACACTCCCCAGCATCTTTTTCAAGTAACTGGAAGCCATTAACAGTAGTAAAAACAGCAAAGTGGGAAAAAAGAATTTTCAGTGTGTTAGCAACACGATACTACAGAAACATGGCACAGAAAATAATTCTGACTTTAAAATAACTCATTAAATAAGTTTCCTTAATTCAGCGCAGCATAACTTGGATTCTGCTTCTTTATTAGGAAAAATGCACTTACTCCACAGCCCAGAATATTTCGAAAGCTGCTGAACTCACCCAACGTACAAAGAAATTTCTCCCACAGATAGGACAGCCTAGCAGGCAACAAAAGATGCATGCAAATCGCAGAGCCGGGAGTGTGAACGGAACCGTAAACTGCTCTGAACAACATGAGCATGAAACTTAGCATTCTTTCTCTCTAATTTAGGCATGCATGCCCACTTCTTTTTCACAAACCCATTTTATTCAAAAATAAGAATAAGCTTGCAATTAAAACGGGGGGGGGGGGTGCTCCGCAAACCTGCTCAACCATTCCAACGTGCGTAAATCTCGGGTTCAGGCAGTCTCCCCACCACCGCCACCAGCCCACCGGAAGAACTGGGTGCGCCGGGCAAACACCGGAGGTCTCTGTGTCAAACACAGCGACCTCAACACACACGGAACATGTCTGCCTCGTCTCTCACTTTCCGACCACGGAAGAGACATGGTCAGCGCTAAGAGCAGCAGCCCGGACTTAACCAAGGAGCTAGACTCGCAGCGATTCACGCCAAAGGTAACCGATCCGACCAGGTTCGTTTCTGCCATTTCGCAGGGAAAAGGCAGGCCGGGGGCCCGAACCCATCGCCCACTGAACGCACAGGAGGGGGCGAGGGCTGCTCCCAAGGAGGGAGGCTGAACCCACCGTCCACGCCAGCGGCTTATCCCGCAGCCAGAGGCTCGCCGTCCGGGTGTGCTGCCTCCAGACACCCCGTCCAGCGGCCGGCTGGGCGCGTGCGAAACGGCAGTGCCCTCCATCCTGCCGGCCGCCCCGGAGGGTCACCCACCCGGCGCAGCCAGGCCGACGGGGGGCCTCCCTCCGGTCCCCTCCCGATGCCCCACGGGCCAGCCCCCGAGCAGGGCAGCCGGCCTGGCCAGGGCTGCTGACCCCGGACCCCGGGCAGGCGGGTCGCGCGGGGCGAGGGGCCTGGGGTCCTCCCCTGGGACCCCCGCGGTCCTCCCCTCTCAGCCCCGAACTTCACCAACAGCCCAAGCACCTGTTCCGTTCCTCGGCTCTGCACCGGGTCCCCTCAGGTTCCTCCATTTCCCTGCGGCTCATCAGACCGACCAAACACCCACCCTAGACCCCGGGGTCCCCCCACGACGAAGCCCCCCGACGCCCGCCGTCCCCACTCACAAGCTACCCCCTGGGCAGCCCCAAGTCCCCAGAGATTCCCTTCAAGTCGCATCCCAGCGTCTCCCCGGGGCCCCTCGCGGGTCTCCGCCAGGCGTCCCGCAGCCCCCCGACCACCGCCCGCCCCAACGGCCGCCGGCCGGCAGTTAACGGCCGGCGCGCCTCACCTTGGTTCACCAGCCGCAGGGCGTGCGTGAAGGAAGGGTCCAGGGAGTCCTTCTCCGCCATCAGCTCCGGCAGATACTTCTCCTCCATGCTCGGCGGCCGTCCGGGGCCCGGGATGCGAACCCGAGGCGCGCGGGCAGCAGCGGCGGCCCCGCAACCCCCGACCCCGCCCGCGGCCCGGACCCCGGGGCCAGACGCCGCGGCGGCGGCGGCCAAGCCGGGCGGGCGGCCGGGCGGCGGCAGCGGCGGCGCCACAGGGGCGGGAACCGGCCGCTCAGCCCCAGTCCCCGGTGGCCGCCGGGTGCCCGGCGCTGGCGGCCGCGGCGTCCGGGACGCGGCTCCCGCGCTCCGGGCGGGCGCCGGTGCGGCCAGGTGGCCCCTCAGGCTGGCCCTGGCGGCGCGCTCGCAGACCCTGAGGCGGTCCGGGGAGAGCCCCGCCAGCCGGCTCCCGCGCCTGGGCAGCTCCCGCGACCGCACGCCGCGCGCCGCCCCGCGCACTCTGAGCCGCCGCCGCCGCCGCCGCCGAGTGTCCAGCGCCGGCCGCCCCGCCCCGCCCCGCCGCGCCGCGCCTGCGCGCTGGGCCCGACCGCCGCGGCGCGCGCCGCCTCGTGGGGCCGCTCCGGGCAGCGCCGGCCGGGTGCGGGCGCGGGGGTGCGGGGACGCCTGGCGCGTGCCGACTCCCTCAGCCAGGCCTGGGTAGGGGTACGGGGGCGGGAGGCCCAGGGCGCCGTTGCAGCCTGGCTGGACGCCCACACCGGGAAACTGAGGCCGGGGGAGGTCCGGAGGCGCGCCCAAGGTCATCACCCCGCGTGCGGTCCCAGGAGTGGGGGACAGGGGTCGATCCGGAAGGGGCGCCCTAGTGGGCCCGGGGCCAAGGCGAGCGGCCGCCTGCTCCTGCCGGCTCCGGGACTCGCCTAACTTAGGCGGCCTTGCTGCCCCCTCGCACTGGCCGCAGAGCCTTCCTTGCTGAGCGCCGGCCTCCCGCGACCCCTGGCGCGAGGCCGGTTACGTAAAGGCTCGCGCCCTTCAGGGCGACTTTGTCTTCTCGGACTCGCGGCGGGGTTGCCATTCTCTGGGCTGAGCCAGGTCCTGGATGAGAGAGCCGCCCGGGGGTGGGGGGTGGCCTCTGGTCGCCGGCGCCTGAGGGGCGTGGACGAAGCGTCCCCCGGGAAGGTCCGGGACTTTTCGCTGCCCAGAGGTCATTCCCAAAGAGAGCTGCGAGTCCGTGCTGGCCTTGGGCGCCCAGGGTCGGGCTGAGCTGGAGTTCTGTGAGGTGTTTCCTGGGGGTAGGGGTCCCCACTGTCTGGTGATTGGGCGGATGTTGGTGGGGGGGACACCAGGAATGTCTGTAGAAGGAATAAGCCCGGGGCACGGCCCATCTTCTGGACAGCGACCCGTGGCCGAATCCACGCGGTTGCCATGCAGATGCAGAAGCCCCAGGCTGCTCTGAACTGGGGCCCCTCACTCCCAAACACCTGCACCGGCACTGTCTCCTGCTCCACCACTCCACCGCCCCGGCCCCGGGGTGGGGCCGAGACTCCCTGACACTCTTGCTCTGTCTCGTCCTGGAAGAGGAAGCAGCCGCGGGAGGAGGTGGGCAGGTGTCTTCTGTCCAGGGAGATGACAGTGGAACCTTTTTTTCCTTAGGGGGTCTCAAGGATTAGGTATTTAGCCCCTGAGGAAGCTCCCTGAACCCAATAATGAAGGCACAGCCCTTCTTTGTTTTGGAGTATTGTCCTCTGCGCTCTGCTGCTCTCTGGGGCACCTGGATCCCGGCTTCCCGCCGGCTCTAGCTCTTGTTCCAAGGGACACATGGCAAACAGAAGCCCCTAGTAGCCCCACTGCTGGACCTGCTGGAGGACACGGGGCATCTCCCAGGAGACTGAGGACAGGGGCTGACACCCCTCCGCTCTGCCCCAGGGTCCTCCCTGCATCCCAGCTCCTCCCTGATGCGCTGTGCCCCTTGGTTAGCTCAGCGCTCTGAGTTTCTGAGCCAGCACCCGTGGAGGGCCTTTGGGGAAATGTTTTCTGCTTTAACAGAGTAGGACAGAGGCACACCTCCAGCTTTTGTTGCTGTTCACAGGACGTAGCTTAGCTTCGGGCGTGTGAGTTGGGGCTTGTCCCAGAGGGGTACAGAGGGTGGCAGCTGAGATCCCAGGGGAGGAGAATGGGCACAGCTACTCAGCTGCCCCCACCCCCTGCTTTGAGCCCCTGATCTTAGACTCTCTGCTTGCTACCAACTGCCTCATCTGCGCTTGTCATCCAGCAACAGTTCAAACCTGGAGTGATCGCTGTGTTTATTAAGTGTTTCCTAAGTGCCAGGCAGCATGCTAGTGGCTTTGCATTGGCTGCACTTCTTTCAGCACCCCGCAGGGAAGACTTCTCACCACTCACAAGTCAGGAGCCCGAGGCTCAGAGCCATTTAATGCTTTACTTAGGGTCCCACAGCTGTGGGTGAGGGCTCCCAGCCCCACCTGTTTCTCTAATGAGTCCAACGTTCTGTCTCTCCTTTCCTGGTCCTGTGGCACACGCCCCTGGCACTCTATCCTGCCCTTCTCTAAGCAGTTGGCAGAATGACCGGCCAGCAGCTGGGGAGGAGGGCTGTGCACCAGGAAGCTGACAGCCAGGGCACTGAATCTTCTGCGGCAGACCTCCCTCCTCCAGTACCTTCCAAGAGGGCAGGTGCCCGGCTTTGTGAGTGCCCAGACCAGGTCCTCCAGGGAGGAGGGAGATGAATGTTTCAGTGAGATGCTCAGGAAATTATCCCACCCTCCAACCTGGCTGAGCCATTGACTGTGGGCTCCTCCCTGCACACTGCCGGTCTTCACAAGGGCACCATCCTGCAGGCGCGAACCTTCAGATCCTACTGAAAATTAGAAAACCAGACCTTGGGGGAGGTGGTGATTTCCTGCACGCAGCTGCAGGCACTGGCCACACCCACGTCCTGGGGCTTCCAGGCTCAGGATCTCCAGAGCATAGCAGTACTCACTGAGCAGATACTGTGTGCAGAGACTGCTCTAAGGACAGGGGCCATCCATGGACAAGACAGACTTCTCCGAGGCCACTTCAGACCAGGACCACGCAGTCTCCTGCACCGTTTGTGTCTTCCCTGGAATGGAGGCCTTAAGTGACACTGAGGAACCCCAGCTGCTGTTTCTCCTCTGGTCCAGTCCACAACTCACCTCTCTGCCCCAGCACCAAGAGGGTCCTTGCGTAGCAGCCCTCACCCAATGCCGTTGGTCTCTCTGGAAGCGCAGCACAGTTGTCAGCAGCTGCAACAGCAACCAGGATGACACTGTCTGAATCCCCACCCGCACCCGCCCCCGCAACAACACACACTGGGAAAGACAGAATCTTTTCTAGCTGGTCCTTATGCACTAACCACAGATAGTCAGCGCTGCAACATCTCCATGTCACCAGAGAATATAGACGAAACATAGGGAGAGTGACTGGGAGGGCATTTCCATGTCTGCACAGCACTGCTGCGCACACTGCAAGCTTCTGGTTCCTTCTGTTCAGGACGATGAGCCCAATCCCAGGTACTCAAGACCTTGCTACGCCATGAGTGGTGAAGACCAAATCTGAGTGCCCCCAGGGACAGAGAGACCTGGCTGCAGCCCTGGGCTCTCCTACTTGCCTTCGGTGACCCCGGCCCCAGGGAGAGGAGAACAGCTGCCCGGCACTGACTCACTATCAGGGGCACTTGGCATGGATTCCAGCTTTTTGACTCACCTCTGCCCTGCTGCACTAGCCTTGCATGTGCCCCGGTTCATTCTGATCAGAACACATCAGGTCCTGGTCTTCTGTGGACCCCTTTACCCCACCAGAGCCAGCTGACCTCCTCTGCCCCAGTGCCTTATCCAACCTGACCGTCAAGTCGCAGCAAGCTCTCACGTTCGCTGGTGATCCACTCCTGAAGTGCAGCCCCTGCCAACCCTGCTCCCCAGCTGCCTCAGACACATGAGTTTGTCATGCAAGCCAGGCACCAAAAGATGGCACACCCTTACCTCGAAATCAGCCATTTATGTGTCAGGAGAAATACACCAAGAGTGTTCACTGTGATCCCTAACTCCAGTCAGTTACAGCAGGAATCACATTTTCCAAATGCTTGTGCAACTAGAACCAAAAAGATTTGAGCATCAAGTGGGAACACTTCAAAGTTGGGAGCCTGGGCAAAGCCCATGGTCCAAGATCAGGAGTGCCTTTGCTGAGGACTGACTGGTCTGTCCGTGGCACACTGTTTTATTCAAACAATCTCTGAAAATCTTCTGCAGCCAATGTATAGGAACGTAGTTGGAAGGAAACTCAGAGACCAGGTAGCTCACAAGACGCTAGTTTTTAGAGGTGAGGAAACTGTTGCCCAAAAGTTTAAGCGACCTAAAGATAGTAGCTGGTGAATTGGGCACACACGTGTATCCCTCCCCCCCCCCCCCCAAAACACACACATTCCATCCCATCCAAGGCTGAGTGGAATCAATCCTTCCAGCCCAGTCACTCACATACCTGAAGACACCCAGCCTTCGGTCCCTATGCCCTGTGAGTGTCACTATTTGGTGGAAAGAAAGCCCAGTTCCTCTTGCAGACACTCGCTTCACCAGAGAAGGGAGCCATCCTGGTTTTGTTGCAGCAGCTAAAAAGCTATAGGTATTGCACACACACCCCCTAGTGGCTACATCTAGAGGTGCATGCCCCAGAAAGCACTGGGGTTGAGAATCCCTTGGTCTCCATGAAGAGCCCCCACCTCCCTACCCTGTAGATATGTAGCTCCACTCCAGGAAGGAGAATAGTGAAATATGATCTTAGATGAGAGTGAAAAAGGAAGAAGGCAAAGAAAAACTGGAAAAGGACGGAAAAAGGGAGAAAAAGAGGGTGGAGAGAACAAAATGTAGAAAAAAAAAGTGAAAAGGACGGCGATCAAAATACAAAGGAAAGCTTAAATGAGGGATGTTTCTCAGCGGCAAGTCTTGATATGGAAGAAAACAGCAATGGAAAATAAGAAGAGCAGGCATGCCCAGCAGGCTGCCCTGTAGCAGTCAGGCAGTGCAGACCAGCCAGGGAGGGAAAGAGGGGACAGAGAATCCAAGATTTGACCTGCCCCACCAGCCTTGGCAATCTTTTCAAAGCCCCAATCTTTTTCTGTCTCTATTTCTGATCTTCTAAAGGGTAGCTAATATCGGGTTTTCTCTTCACATTTTATTGAAATATGATGAGAACAATAAATATTTTCAGAGAAAAACCCCAGAAAAAAAAAAAAAGTGCTGTGAGCTCTCAGATGGAACCATCTTAGAAATGTGTTACATTGTTTTTCCTGATGCAGCAGCTGCCCTGCATCCTCCACTTCCTGGTCTAAAAGGTTATATGTGATGCAGGACTGCTGAAGTGCTCCTGGTGTTTCAACAATGCATCCAGTTATCACCAGCTCTAGTGCTTTGTAAGACACTGTGATTTGAAAAGCGCCATTGAAATGTAAAACATTATTGCCAGGGTAGTAAAAATATCCACATC